CATGTAGTTCTGTCTTAGGAAGAAAGGCAATTCTAACATGGGTTACAACATGGATGAAGGACCCAGAGGCGTGGTGTTAAATGTAGCAAGCCTGCCAAATATATTCAGTAAGGGCCCAAATTAAAATTGTGGGTGACAGATTTGTGGAGGAGTGGGAGCTGAGAGCAGGAGACCTCAAGGAGAAGCCTTGTGGGGATCAAACAGTACCTCTGTGGAGGCAAGAGGAGGGCGGGCAACAGATGCAGGACCACAAACCGTCTCATGTTTCTGGGGCAGGAGTGGGTGGGACAGGACCTAGGAGGCAGTGACAGATGATGATGGGCCTCTTCCCTCCCACTCGCAGGAAGCCATGCTTTATGCCAGAGGCAAAGGGGAGCCATTGGAATATTCTAGTCAGGGAAATGCTAGGGTTGGAGCAGTTTTAAGAAAGCCCCCAGGCAGCAATGCAGTGGATGGATCGGAGGGAATAAGACAGGCTCCATGAGACCCACTGGGAAACATGGTAATTAAGCCCACAGTGTTCCTGATTTTTCTGTCTTCAGCCTCTTGCTCACAAGTACACATTTTCTTTTTGGACAATAGGGGTGCCCTGACCCTTCAGCAACCCTGTCACATGGGGCTTAATTACAGAGAGGAGGGTCTCATGGGAATGCTGTAGAGCAGGGCAGGATGCTGACTGGGGCACAGTGGACAGCAAACCCGTTCAACCCTAAGAATGATTCTCACTTTCTCATTAATTTTGGGTGCTACTAACATCACCCCCTTAACTGATGCTTTCACCCCTTTAAACTCGGGTTGGCTTCCACATCAGACACTGTATTTTCTTCCCCCAGCCTCTAAGTCAATAAATTGGCCCAGTGCAATTTTAAAAAACAATCAGATGCACCGGGGAGCTCTCTCATTCTCCTGAAGTGAGGAGGGTGTCAGGATGTTTCCTGGAAGTGTGGGAAGTCACAGGCTCCCAAGGCAATGTCATGGGAGAATTTGACTTGGGTGAGGACACCAGGAGTCCCCAGAGGGTTCAGTGACTTTTGGAGTCCATGACCCAATTTACAAAAACAAACATGTGCCTCTGTTTCCAGAGTGTTCTGAGGGCCCAGAGGCTTTTTGTTTTTTTGTTTGTTTATTTTTGCTTTCTAATCTGTTATAGTGGTAGTGAGCCTAAGCCTGCTATTTAAGTGCTTAGCCTCTGAATTCCATCTCCGGGACAAACTTTTCTGAGTGTGTTCTCTCACTCTCCAGAAGATGAAGGACAGCTGATGTTAGAATAAAGACTCTTTGCAACCATGAAGACTTACTGGGCCGACTGCACCATCAGGACCACCAGGCAGTACCACTGTTATGGGGGTCTCAACCCTAACTAACAGACTTCAGAAACAGATTGCTGCATTTGGTATTGTTTAAATAAGGGATGGGGAGAGCAGTTTTGATGCCTTGATTTTAAAATGCCTCTCCCTAGCTTTCTTTCTTGTTTCTTTATCATTTACAAAAACAGCAGCAAAAACTTTCCAACCACCCTTAATCTCTAAAATATGCATTTCTTGTAAATGATCATGTTGTCTTAGGGACATTAAAAAAATAATTCAACCTCCTTATCACTTGAGTGTTGCAAACACTGAGATTAATACATGTCACCTGGTGGACCCTATAGTCGAGACAAGTGACAGGAACCATAAAACACCTAGAAGAGAAGCTGGTATACAGTAGGTGATCAATAAGTGAATGGAGGTTCTTAGGCCTTCTTCTCAAAGGAGAGGGTACATTAGTTTCTAGAATGAAGGACTGTGGGGTGCTGTAGCCTAGAACCTATCCAGGATGCACCCTTTTACAGTGTGTGTGTGTGTGTGTGTGTGTGTGTGTGTGTGTGTGTGTGTGTGTTTCTAAGTTATTATCTAAATTGCCCATTAAGGTATGTTTGAGTCAACAAGTAGCTATTGACTTAAGTTTCAGCTACCATCAGGACTTATTGATCAGAGAAATAAATATTGACCAAATTGAGACTGAGGTCAATGCTAGAGTCCTGGGGCAATAAATCTTAATATTTATTGGGAATTTTTACTCTAAAATGTTGGTCAGACAGAGGTTTTGTTAAGGTCAGCTCTTTTTTTCTTGTGTGTGTGTGTGAATTGCTTTGGTGTAAACTGGTACCAAAATTAACTTGACTATGAGAATTTGGTATAAATTTTTTTTTAATTCTTTACATCTTAAATAATCAAAAGGTAATTTTGTATTTAAAGAATTGTTAGTAAAAAAAAATCATATTGAGGTTGGCGAGATGCTCAGAGTTCAAGAGCACCTGTTGTCCTCATTTCATTTCCCAGCATCACGTGGTAGCTCACAATCATCTGCCACTCCAGTTCCAGGGGATCTGATGCCCTGTTCTGACTTCACAAGCACCAGGCACACATACACACATGCAGGCCAAACACTCATATACATAAAACAAACTATACAAACTGCAAAGGGGAGATTTTGTCAAACAATTATTTTGAAATATATGTAATCACCCTGATCTACTTTTAGTGACAAAAGCTTCATAGACTGATCACTTACAAATATTTTATTTTATTTCATGATTTACTTTGTATCGTCTCATATTTATAGAGATTTTTTTTCTATAAATTTTTTTACATCAGTAAAGAAATCTTGGGACTGGAGAGATGGCTCCATGGTTAAGAGCACTGGATGCTCTCCCAGAGACCAGGGTACGATTCCCAGAACCCACAAGACAGTTCACAGCCTGTTCCAGGGGATCTGACTCCCTCTTCTGGCCTCTGGCACTGCATACATGTAGTGGACAGACAGAGATGCACACAAAACACCCACACACTAAAATAAAAGTAAAAACATACATCAAACATACATCTGGAAACTTTAAGTTGAAATGTTTTGAAATAAGTTTTCTTATTTCAAATAAGTCCCCATCCACAGAAGCTTCAGTTCACACAAATGTAGACAGAAGGGTCAGCAATGAACACTTGCATTGGTACTCCATTCATTATTTTAATTGTTGTTGAACCCAGTCTTCTGATAAGTCACAAAAACAACAACCATTCAAGACAGAATTTTGTATCCATGCACTGCACAGCCTGGTTTTATGTTTAATGGATAAAGGAGAAGGGGCCTACAGGCTGTAGCCTAAAGAAAGTTTTGATTCAAGACTGCTGACTGTCTCCCAGCTGACTGTGGGACTCCATCACTCCCCTTAAATGGAGTGTCCATGTGTCCTCACAGACAAAACTGGCAGATGAGGGACAAGTCTTACTGTGAAAAGTAAATATGGGGACACGTAGGAAACATATGCATGAATGTATTCTATGCACACCATTGGATGTCTAACAAAGAACAAAAAAGAGAAGTCTAATAAACGGCTGTTTGCTATCATGGACATTGTAATAGCTTTGACAATATTTTTCCTTTCACACACATAGCACAAATAGTTATGCTGGACAATGTTAGCAGCAGAACAAATCATGGACGATCAAACACTGAAAATACTACATAAATGTCTATGCATATATTGATATCAAAAGAATTAGTGAATAAAAAGTGAGGAAATGGAGAAGATTTTACTAACAGAACTCTAAGCGACAAAGATAGCCAAGCTGAGGGAAATGGAAGACTGCTATTGACATGCCACCACAGAAACACCCTCAGACAAAGGCAAGGATGAATGTGAAATATGTGAGCAGAAGCCTTGATGTAGCTCTCTAAAATAATAATTATTAATCATTGTGGTGGTACACAGGTCCACAAATTCTGATTTCTTCCCCTTTGAAAGGCTGTGCCTAAGTTCTTTTGCCTGCTTTGACTGTGAACTGGACTTCGGGCCTGGCTTCTGACATATAGGGAACAGACAGAAAAGAAAAAACAAAAACAAAAACAAAAAAACCATCGAGGAATCTGGCAGGTGTGGCCTTCACTGTAGGTTGAAATGGACATCCATCTTAATGACACACAGCTGCCCTCCCCATCATCAGTTTCAGTTACAGGTAATCAACCTCCATTAGAAAATATTAACAGAAAAGTTCCAGAATTAAAAAAATCCCTAAGCTTTTAAATAACCATTTTAAATAAATCTTATAATTGTTCCATGTTAGAATTGGCCATTGTTACTCTACTGTGTCTAATTTAGAAACAACATTATCACGGTTATGTGTGAAGAAAATGGAGCATGAATTTGTAGGGTTTGATACAACCTATGGTTTCAGGCATCTGCTGTAGGGTGCTGGAATATCTCCAAAGTGGACAGCCAGAGGAGGTGCTTCATGGACATCATGCTGAAGTTAACAACTTACAGCGGTGGTTCTCAACCTTCCTAATGCTGCCATCCTTTAGTATAGTTCCTCATGCTGCGGTGACCCCAACCATAAAACTACTTCTGTTGCTACTTCATAAATGTAAACTTGCTACTGTTATAAATTATAGTATAAATATGATATGCAGGATATCTGATATATGACCCCCATGAAAGTGTCATTCAACCATCCCAAAGGACTCGTGATCCACAGGTTGAGAACTACTGCCTTAGAGCAACACACCTCAGCTATGTAAGATGTTAGCAGTAGTAGGCGAAGGTCAACAAAAACTCTGATGCCTCAAAGATTACTTCTGTAATCTAAAGTTATTTCAAAGTTTAAAAAAAAAAGATTTAACACATTTTCCTGGAAAGATCATTAGCATCCTCTCCAGAGAATTATTGGCTAAATTAAGAAGCAGGTCCACTTCCTGTTTTATACCCTTCTGTATATGACGTGTTTGCTCTTGTTTTGTAGGGGAGCTTTTACAGTGAAAGGTAATTCCATTTTGATTTTCTTGGACAGTCACTGAGAAACTAAGTGGAGAAAAAAGGCTCAAAATCTGAGAAAAGAGAATGCCTTTGGGAACAGAGGTAACAGATAACAGATTTTCAACGTATTTAGAGCTCATAGAGGTACTGTTGGACCCTTGCACAGTTTCTTGTGTTAGAAGGACCACAACAACAGAGAGCAATTACTCACCAGCGTGACTTTCCTCTGTGGTTTCAGCAGCTTTGGTTTGTGGAATGTGGTGACTATTGGAGCTGTGGAAGGACACCAAATTTCAGCTTGAAATTCCTCCAAGGCCTCTTAGTGCCCACCTTCCGCAGTCATCACAGACACTGTGTTCAGACAGTGTGAGCCTTCCTACCCCCCAAGAAGCTTCTGGAGTAGATATCCTTGGGCATTCCTAACTGGAGGACAACTGTCCCTCATCTCTAGACATGTCATTGCCTCCCTTAGGTCAGGTCACAACAGTTCTGCATAGGTCTCTGTTGCCTGCACAGAAGTCAAGGGTGTGAAAGACAACCAGGAGCCCTTGGTCAAAGCTGAGGTAGAACTTTTCCCTGGAGACTCTGCTCTCTCCCTGATCCCAAGGACAGTGGCTAACCCTCCCCCAGTCCTGTGAGCTCATCAAGGAGGGGCTTTCTGTCCCAGCTTATAGAAACAGAGTTTCTTCTGCCAGTGTCATAATTAGTTTTGACTGACATGACTTGAACTTGGAGTTGAAATCCCAGTCCAATACTTCAGTCCCCACGTGCAATCTATATCTTTTGTAACTAGGACAATGCCCACCCTGCAGAGACTGACACAATATAGAGGTGTGAGCCCTGGCTGAGGTGACCTCTGCTCCTTCCCTCCCACGCTCTCACACCTCCCAACCTTCTTTCCTTTCAGGTATACCTCTTCTAGCTTCTCCCACAAGGCTCAGTGAAGAGACATCATCAGAACCCAGCGAAGAGATAAAATGCATTTTGTCATGTTAGTTTCCTCTTATAACTATACTTCAAATTTGTTGAGGGGTGGACATCCAGATAGGTCAGTCTAAGTATCTAAATAGGGTCTATCCTCGGTTCTGATAAGATCCATGACTCTTTTTTTTTTTCTTTCCCATTTAAGAAACCCCTTCCTTGCTCATTCCTATTGCTGTAAATAAAAACAGCAACCACAGAATAACCAATAACAGGTATGTATCTTACCAGCAGACTATGTCTGAAATGTACTGTGTACATCATTAAACATCAGAAGTGTTCTTTCTCTTTAAGAACCAAGAAGATGTTGCCAGACCCCGCCTCACCTCACTGTTTAAAAGTCCACAGTAAATTCAGTATGGGCTTTCCTGTGCATGTTGGCTTACCTCAATGCCGATAGCCAAACCTATGGTGCCCTGTTTCCCATCTCATCCCGGTTTGTTATGTCTAGACTCTAGCCGTGTGTGTGTGTGGGGGGGGGGTCTGTTTGTATTACAGTAGCACTGAATGACAAGTCCCCCATCCACCTACTCCTCTGCCCCAATCCCACAGTTGACTCCAGGCTTACCCCTGTATCAATCAAGTTGACTTCCACTTAAGAAGTTTCAGGTCTTGAGTCTTACCTTTGGCAGGGACTGCAGGTGGGACATCTACCTTCTCCTTCCGCCTCTTGCCCTTCTGTGGCTGCAGTGGGGCCAAGCTGGTGACACTGGTGACAGTCTCCCCTGAGCTGCAGAAGAAAAAGGCTCAGATGAAGCCAATGTCTATTCATTGCTGAAAATCAGAATGGGAGCTCTTGACTCCTTATGGAGGTCTATAGGCAGGGAGTGTCTTACATTGTCTCTAGAGATGCCCGCAAGTCTGCCACTCTCCCTTGGCCATGATAAAGGTGATGAAGTGAACAGTTTGAGACTTATGATGTGCTTCTCAAAGTTCAAATCCCATGAAATAACCAAGGACCAACTTGTTCACATTAGTTTGGGAAGTATGAACTGATGGCCACTAATGATGTCACCAAAGATATACATGTACTTGAGCTAGCTCCCCAAGAGTCAACATTCTTTTTCCATGTCTTTGGATTCCATAATCTCCAAACCAAGTGCCTCTTGGCCAAGTAAGAAGGGACTTGGGGGAGCTGCACCTTTAGGATTCTCCATAAGTACAAGGTGCTTGCTTCTGTAAGCGTCTTCATCTTTATGACAGGCAAATGAGTTTGCTCTGAGAAATGTCATCTTTCCAGTCAGCTGATCCTGTGGAACCACTCAAGTATCTGTTTCTTTTTATGTGCTGTCCATGATAAAAACAATTGATGGGAATGACTAGCCTTCTATTAAAGAAAATCAAAGCCCCTGGAACTAACACACCGCTCTAAGCTGTTAATAAGCAGGGAACAAGTGAGCTAAGCTGTTCTTGGCTCTTACAATATTCACTGCTACTGAAAGCAGTACAAGGAAGAAAGGGTTTGCTTTGGTTCACAATTAGAAGCCCCAGTCAGTTGTGGCAGAGAAGTCATGGCAGCATCCGTAGGAGGCAGCTAGTCATATTGCACCCATACTCAGGAAGCAGAAAAAGATGAATATGCTGTGTTCAGCTTACATTTCTCTATTTATTCAGTCCAAGCTATTAGTCAGTCCAAGGGCTGGTGCTGCCACATTTAAGGTGAACTTTCCACCTCAGTTCAATCTCTCTGGACGTGTCAGAGGTGTGTCTTTGTTGATTCTGAATCTCCTCTAGTTGATGAAGGCTAGTCATCTGATCCTTCTACATGCGTTGATGTCCATGGGCTTCTCTGAATAGGCAACAGTCTTCCTTCAAAGCTTCCCTATTGGCTCCAGCAACTCACAAGGAAGCTCACTGTAGAATCTGTTCCCAGACACAGGGTCCAGCTTAGCAGAGATGGTTCTCAAGAAAGTCTGTCTCCCCAGGCCATGAAAAATCTCTGAAGTGGTCAAGACCATGATCAATCATCAAAATGAACAGTCAGTAGAGGGGTAATTTGTGTCTCAAAGGAGAGCCCCACATGTGTAAACATGCTAAAGTTATCATGACAAGGTAGAAAAAGAAGGGACTTCCTTTCCCTGCATGCCAGAATGGAAAGAATCAAATCCGGGTGAGCACTCTTGACAAACATGCAGAGCTTCTCCGAGTGCAGACCTTCCCTGGTGGAAAACAACTTGGCAACATCTACCAAAAATGACTGAGCCTTGACCTCTTAGACATAGCAGTCTCACCTCTGAAAATTCTTTGCATGAATGTCACGGTGTGCACGCATGAAGTGATATGTGCACAAGAGATAAGCATTGTATCTCTGCAAAACTCCAGCAGACATCACAACAGCCCAACTGTCACCAACTGGCTGGTTGAGTAAAGTACGTTTTGTTTGTTTTTGTTTCTTGTTTGTGTGGTCTTGTTTTTTGTTTTGTTTTTTGTTTGTTTGTTTGTTTGAGAGGGTTTCTCTGTAGAGCTCTGGCTGTCCTGGAACTTGCTCTGTATGCCAGGCTGGCCTTGAACTCATAGGGATCTGCCTGCCTCTGCCACCCAATTGCTGGGATTAAAGATTAAACCCAACAAGTATGGTTATCTTTATAAAGCTGGTAGTCTGTGGTTGAAAACAGGAATAAAGCAGTGACCTATGTACTGATGAAGCAAGACACATTGTTGAAAGAAAAATTCCAAGTATTAGATACATTTATAAGTGAAAAATCTACTTCTTACATAAATAGGGGAAACAAGATATAAGCTAGAATGAGCTTACCTATCTATAAAGAAACATTAGAAATCGTCAAGGGTCTTGAGAATAGGGATGCTGGGGAAACTACACAGACTGGAGATAGGATAGAGAATTATTGTTGATTACATTTAAAATTATAAACAAGTAAATGTAGACATGTAGTTACAGGCTATTGTAACAGTGGTCCTAAATATTTAGAAACAAGTGAAGACTCACTCACATAGTGTGGGAAAAAGCCTAAGGATGTGTCTCCACTGAGATTCCCCAAGGATGACTTATTTTCTTTGGGAACAGGCTAAGTGGTCATAGCTGTAGAGTGCAGGGCCCACTGTGTAAATTCACAAATAGCTAAAAGGAATGGGAGTTTACAGAATTCTGACCACCAAGAGCAAACAAGGGCTTGCTTAAACAGACAAACACACAGAGCTTGGTTCTGCAGCCTTTTAAACTCTTGATATGTTTATTATTTTTCTTTTCAAATAAAACCAGGCAGTTTTGTGGATTAAAATGGTAATTATAGGCATGGAAATGAAAGGAAATAAGCCTGTCATGACCACAACATGACCTTTGTAAATATTTCCACAACTGTTCTTTTCTTCTTTAAAAGAAAACAAAATGACTATTTTTAGAATGGTTTTGGGTTCACAGAAGAATTGAGAAGGTACAGAGATTTTCCCAACACCCCATGCTCTGCAACTGAGAAGCCTGTGCAGAATTGTCAGGAGCATCCATAGCAATACTAGGTAATATCAGGGTTCACTCTTGCGCTCTATGGCTTTGGACAAATATACAGCATAGGCAGCATTATAATAATCTATAGAGGGGCTTCACAGTCCTAAGAGTCCTCTGTGCTTTGCCCATCCTTACTGTTCAGGTCTCAAAAACCATTGACCCTTGCTTTAACTGGTTCTAGAACACTGTAAGCTTGTAAATACACCAAACATAGACTACTCAGACCAGTTCACTTGATAATAAGCACTTAAGGCTTCCTTCTCCAAGTCTTTTACTAATTTGGTAGCTCATTTCTTTATAGTACCAAATACTATTCCATTGTCTGGTTGTCATGTAGTTTACTCATATATTCACCTAAATAATGATGTTTCTCTGAGAAATTAGGAATACAGCTTCTATAAACAGGTCTTTATATGAGTAAAATATTTGATACTATGTTTTTGTAAATTGCATTAAATTATAATGTGACACTTTCTTTTTATTTAATCTATAGTTTTCAAATTTTTATATTTTCCTATCATTCTAATGAGAAGATAAGCTGTAGTTTACAAATGAACAACTGATTGATTTTCTTTGCTTTTCGAGACAGGGTTTCTCTCTATGCAGCCCTGATTGTCCTGGAACTCACTCTGAAGACCGGGATGGCCTTGAACTCACAGAGATCCATCTGCCTTTGCCTCTGCCTCCTAAGAGCTGGGATTAAAGGCATGTGTCACCACCACCCGTATTCATTTTCTAATATATCTGTGCAAAACAATTTCCCATTCTGAAGCTTTCATTTTCCAGTTTGAACCTGAAAACTGGAATTGCCATATCAGAGAGGACCATCTTCAAAGCCATTTCATCCCTGATTTCAAAGTGACTGGCAGCAAATTAGTACCACTTTGGCACTGTCCTGTCAGCGAAGAACTGTGCCAAGTCATTGTCATCACCACTAAGTATATCAGTTAACTTCATGAAGAAACATGTGACCCTCTTCTGTTGCATTTCTTCGATTGTCACACAGGATGGTCATGGCCTGTGTCTGTCTCCATGCTTCCTCATAGTTATTATTTACTTAAGGTCTTAGACTTCTCATATTGATCTGCATAGATCTCTTCCACCAAGCTAACACATAGATTGTAAATTGTTTCCAATAACCCTCTCATCTTAGACTTTTATTAAATGCACAGTTTTCTTCCCTTTCTGCTGGAATCATTTGATATTCTTTCCTTTGTACCCCTGAATTCAGATAGCATCCCCAGGGTACCTCACACCCTGGAGAATTAAATGTTTCCAGTTTCTCTCCTTTTTACTTGGACTAGAATTTTTACCTTTCAGACCACAGCGGGAGTTTCTGTGACTTCATTTCTATGAATGTATGCCACTATGCCCAGGGGTTTTAGGAAGCTGAAAAGGATCTGTCTCATCATCACCAGTTTCCTCCAAACCAGTAAGGCTGCATGCAACTAAATTTAGTTCTAATTCATAGTTCAACAAGACTTCAAGTATACAGTGAGTCATCGCAGTAACATGTGGCCCACACTTTCCCCTTCGAATCCCATTCTCCCATCAAGCCAAGTCTGGGAGGGCTTTTCAACTAAGAAAGCCCTCCTTATGATTAACTTACAAGGAAAGTTATGCTACATCTTGAATTGGAACAGGGCTGCAGTTTGTCTCTGTCATAGGCAAGTGTTGTTGTGGCAGTCAAACCGGAAAAAAAAAAAAAAGATGGAAAAACAGGTCCAGAAATTCCCTCTGAATTAGAGGGCAGTACAGTCAGAGCTTGCTGTTAAATAGGTCTGCTTTTCTGGCAGGAGGTGCCACATACGGGTGTCTTGTAAGAGGTGCTGCCTCCTACAGTCTGTGCCCCATAAAGACTCAGACGCTCTGCTCTGGAACCAGCAGAGATAGGATTTAGGGAACAGATGTTGGAAATGGGCTGGAAGATGATACTGAAGCTGCAGAAGTAACTCTGGGCAAGTCATTAATTTCCATGGGCCTCTACTGCTCAATCTGCAAGATGGGCGAGCAGCTCTTGCTGGCTATGTCATGGGGCCATTATGATGTCAAGTGGAATAGCATGGATAAATAAGATGGGACATCGTATTGGTTACTTTTCTGGTTGTGACAGAAACAACTTGAGAGAGGGAGCAATTGTTTTGGCTCAAGGAGTAAAACAGTCCATGCTGAAGTGGGATAGGAAGCAGGGATGGGGGAGATGGCTGTCCTCGGCTCTCCTTGGCTCCCTTTTCTTCAGTCCAGACCCCCGATCCACAGGCTGGTGC